CCTCTAATCGCCGATTAAGAGCTAATTAAGGTACGTTTACCTCCCTAAGTGTTAATTATTTTTAGTTAATTATTTATTTGAGGAAGATTAGGATTAATTACCTTGATTAATTATGGTTTAGTGATAGCTAAGATTAATCATGTTATTTGATTAAAGATTAGTAAGTAGTTAAGGTTAGCTACCTTGATTAATTAGTAATTAGTTATTAGTTATGCTAATTGAAGGATGATTAATAATGATTAATCATGTTGATTAAGGAATGATTAAAGGTTAATCATACTGATTAGAGAATGATTAATGATTAATCATGTTGATTAAGGAATGATTAAAGGTTAATCATCTTGATTAGAGAATGATTAATGGTTAATCATGTTGATTAGAGAATGATTAATGGTTAATCCATAAGGGATTAGTGACTTAGTCTTAGAAGATTATGTTGTACTAATGACTATGTGACTTGATGACCTTAATTAAATATTGGATTAAGGATTAAGGGTTAGTGATTAACCAAGAAAGCATGATTAATCATGGATTAAGGAAGAATTCCAAGACCTTAATTGAGGATTAAGGCTTGGTCAAACCAAGGTCAAAGGTTTAGGAAAGGTATACAGAAATTATAAATTAAAAGGTACAAGGGTAGCATTATATTGAGAAAGAATGATATACTGGATATGGAATTTACCATACCCTTACTGTATGGTTGATAGGCAATTTTCTGGAAAGCTAGGAGGATCTCAAGCAAGGAAACAAGGAGAAAACATTAAGCGTGGAATTGAGGTAGCGTGAACTTGCAATTATTTTGTTGACCTGTATTTGGTGTTTCTGCTATGTGTGTTTATGTGCCATGAGAATGTTTATGCCCAGATGATGTGAACTCCTTGCAATGTATGCCTTGGCTCTTGCATGATTGAGTTGTGACCAGAATGATTATATGCTCCATGATATGATGACATGGATACAGAATGGTTATGGCATGGCATAAAGACTAGAAATGTTATTTTATTGCATGTAGCATGACATCTTATGCATGTTGACTTGATGGTTGTATGTTCAATGCTACTGGGATTTCTATGAAATCTCATTCCTCCTATAACATGATATCCTAGGTGCCACTACTGCCAAGGAGAAGGGAAAGAAAATAATCATGGCTTGAGGAAGTTATGAATTATGTATTGTATTATACGGTTTGAACCTTTCTCTTTCAAGCCATGTAAGCATACTCTGATCATGAACACATGATATGATAACCTTTTTGAATGTATATTAATGATAGAGTAGCTTTATATGTAATTATAGTATGCTTATAGTGAACAACGAAATGCTGTTAGAATTAGTGATAAAGGGGATAAAAATGGTCTAGATTTGACCAAACTTTGACCAACGAAGACCCTGGTCAATTGGTTGACTGTTTCCCTGAAATTTGGCATGCAAATAGATCTTATTTTTCCCTTTAAAATGAGTGGTAAAGCGTCACAATCGGAGATCTGTGTAAGAAGTTATGCCTTTCCAAAGTTAGGCAAAAATCCTGGAAAATAGAAAAATGACCAAATGAACAGTACTTTTCAAAATTAAAAGCGGATGTGTTTCTGATTAAAGTGGAACCTGAGGTCATTTTTCCTTGATAGATGATGTTAAGAGCTTCGAGTGAGACTTGGAACGACCTTGTTTCGATTTTTCTAGAATTAGTTATGATTTTCCAAAGTTATGCCAAGTTTAAGATTACAATGAATAGTAATGCGGAAAAGAAATTTTCAAATTCAGGTTTTCAACCCGGTAACCTTAAATTGCGCTTCCGAATATCTTAACTTGGCACAATATAAGGTCGTAAATATAAGGTGTTACACCATGCACCTTTAGCCATGGAAGATAGGATGGAAGAAGATGGAAAGATGAAAGAAAGTAGAAGAAATGAAGCAAGAAGGGAAAATCAAGTGGAGAGAGCAGAGATGGAGATTGAATTAAAGAATTACACAAATGAGGGGGCTAGGGTTTGAATATGTTATGTTCATAAGTGTTCTAGGTCAAAAATAGGTTGAATTGTTAATGATCCATTTCAATTGCTTCAGATTTGAAATGATGAGTTGGTTATAAATGCCTCTTACTGTAGTGCAAATTTTCTTGGCCGTGGCGAAGATTCTAGATTAGCACCTCTATCACGCCACAGATTTTCTTGGCCACAACATAAATTCCAAAAATCTTGAATCTTCAGGCTTTGTTGCTCCTTGTTTGAGTCTATGCATTTTCTTTCTTCTTATTACAAGGTACCTACAAGATAAAATAGCATTGTGTAGCATCAAAAGATCCAAGAAATTCAATTAAAACAAGAGCAATTACAAAAACATGCAAATTAAAATTTAAAACCATGCAATCACTCTAAATTCACCAAAAGATACAAAATAAGAAATAATGTACAAATAACTCGCCAAATGCACTCAAAATATAATGTAAAATACTATATAAATTTGGTATGATCATATAGCCTGATATTTAATACCTAGAACTCATCTTTTAATATATAAAGATATTATATAAAATGATTAAATGTTAAATATACTTTGTTAGCATTTATATTAATTGAGTTAGTATTTTTCATTAACGAAAACAATGTTATTAATATCAAGAGATTGAAAATACATTTGATAAACTTAAAAAGCTATGTTAAAATTTAATGTAAACTTGAAGGACACAACATATTCATTAACCAAAAATTGCTAGTATAGTTTTATAGAGTCACCATTTAAATTCATTGTGTCATTATTTTTCATTAATAAGATCAACGATATTAACATTTAGTGATTGAAAATATATTTTGCATATTTAAGGAACCTGACGTAAAGTTATAATTTCATGGTCAATGTATGCGTTCGGTTCGTTAACTTTACATCAGTTTTAATTTATAAAATTTAATAGTTTTTTTGACTAAAATTGAAAGAATTAAGGAAAAGGACAATAAAATAATACTTTAATTTAAAATCCCTAAATATTCCCCTGAGTAAGATAAATTCCATTTTAGTCATACAAAACTAAATAGAAATTTTGAAATTTGTTAAAGTTAATGACTATATTGTCCTTATGTCATATGTTCTTATTTTGTGAAAATATTTTGAAAACATGTTAATTGCATCATCAAATTTATTAATAGCATTGCATGACTTGTTAGCCACGCTGTAGAAGTTGAAAAATTCTCAATTCATTAAACACTCATAAAACCCTCAAAGTTTGTGAATAACGTTATTAAAGTTGTTGATATAGTTACACAAATTGTTAACCATGTGAGTGAAATTGAAAAAGAAAATCCTACTTTCATAATTTTTTGAAAAATAGGTTGGTAATTGTATTACCAAACTTGTTAATACTATTATATGCTTGTCATGTAACACAATTATATGAAAGTGGGACTTTTCCAACTTGAGTGATACGGTTAACAACTCTTGCAATAATATTAACAACTCTAATAATTCTATTCACAATGTGATCTGAGAGATATTTGACCTCGAGAGATTTTTGAGTGCTTAATAAATGGAGAGTTTTTTTTAACTTTTATAGTATGATTGACAAGTCATATAACAATATTAACAAATTTGATAATGGAGTTAGCAACCTATTTTCTAGACAAATGTGAAAGTGAGATTTTTTCAACTTTAGTAACACAGTTAACAACTTTTGTAACAATATTCACAATTCTAATAATGCTATTTACTAAGTGACTTGAGAGGTATTTTGACTTCAAAGAATTTTTGATTGTATGATGAATTGAGAATTTTTCCACTTCTGCAATGTGACTAATAAGCAATATGATTAACAAGTCATGTAATACTATTAACAAATTTGATAACATAATTAACATGTTTTCAAAATATTTTTATAAAATAAGCATAAAGGACATAATAGCAGCATAGTCATTTCAACAAATTTTGTTTTATGCACTTTAGCTAAAAATTTATTTTGATACTTTTATAATATTAGCGTTGGCCACACCACAAATAGTAATGAAAGTTAGGCAAATTTAATAGCTGTTGTTTTTCTTTGATTTTATAAGTTTATGGGTGTTTTTCTATTTAAAAAAAAAACTTATAGTGGTTGGTATATTTTGGATAATAATAATAACAACAACAATAGTCTTTATTATTATTTTTGCATTTTTATAATTATTAATTAGGGGGAAAAAAACAAGGGAAAATTTCACTGTAGGACCGCACAAGATAATTAATCTCAAAGAGCCTCCAAAACTTTCTGAAATCTCACTGCAGGACCAAGGGGCCAATCTGATATTAATTCCACAAACGAAATGACGCCACTACCCTTAGCATTAGGTGAACCAATCCACATGTGAACGGACTGATTCCACGTGTGAATATATGTATTTATTCTGCAAATTGACTAGTTCCCTTTGCAAATGCGCTCTCTCACACTTGTTCCTTCACGGACGCATATATCAGGTGAACCAGTCCACATGTGAACGGACTGATTCCACATGTGAATATATGTATTTATTCTGCAAATTGGCTAATTCCCCTTGCAAATGCACTCTTCCGCACTTGTTCCTTCACGGATGCATGCATCAGGTGAACCAGTCCACATGTGAACGGACTGATTTCACATGTCAATATATGTATTTCATTTGCAAATTGGCTAGTTCCCATTGCAAATGCACTCTTCCGCACTTGTTCCCTCCTACTAGGGGCAGTGGCGTCATTTCATTTGGGTAATATCAGATTGACCCCTTGGTCCTGCAGTGAGGTTTCAGAAAGTTTTGGGGGCTCTTTGAGATTAATTGTCTTCTGCGGTCCTACAATGAAATTTTCCCAAAAAACAATGTACTGAACCGGTGGCCCCCGGCGGGACCGCCAGTTGGAGGCCAAACCTTTGTCCACATTTCCCACCAAACGAAGCCAAATCCCTAAATTCGCACGCCTCACAAAAGGACATTAGATACTTCTAGAACAAAGAAGGGAAAGAAAATTATTAAATTTCAATTTTTTAGGCCAGATCAATTTGAAACCCAAAAAAAAAAAAAAAATGAAAATTCCCAAATCTGAATGGAATTCTATGCCCTAATCCAATTCCTAACTGCCGGACCCTCCGCCTACGACGGTTTCCGGACCCTCCGTTCATCGTTTATCTTCGCCGGCGGCTGAGTCACCGTTACTATTTCAACGTGTGTGTGTGAGGGAGAGTGAGAAGCTGGGAAAGCGAAGGAAAGAGAAAGAGGAAGAGGGGCCGGAAGAGATGGATAGTCCGGGGTCTGGTTCGGTTGATTGCGGCGTGGGATCGATTGTATGGGTGCGAAGGAGAAATGGGTCGTGGTGGCCTGGTCAAATACTGGGTCCGGAAGAGCTTTCGTCTTCACATCTCACATCTCCTCGGTCAGGAACTCCTGTTAAGCTTCTTGGTAGGGAAGATGCGAGCGTGTAAGTATCTTTATTTGCCTTTTAATCACTAGTGTTTCGTCTTGATTTAAAAGTTAAGCAATTCATATCTGGTTTTCGATCCACTAGTTTGGTGCCCTGCTATTGGTTCGTGTACAATACATTCTGGTAATTGTTCTCTACTTCAAAAGAAGCTCAGCTTAATTTTAAATATCACTGCTTTTTGCTTCGACCTTACTGGTTTGGCGGCTAGTGGTAACTAAGTTAAGGATTGTTCTCTTTAGTTGTTCGTTAGAGGTGCAGTTAGATTCAACGCCTGCTTCAGCGCCTTAAAAATTCTTGAACTCTTAGGCTAAAATATATGCATATATAAAACCATACGTTATACATATATATACATGTTATGAGTGTCAGGTGCACCAATGTGTCTATTACTTAGCATCATTAATAGTTGATAATGTAATGTTTCCCCTTATATGCTGGCATATCTTAGCAGGGATTGGTACAATTTGGAAAAATCCAAGCGTGTGAAGGCATTCAGATGCGGTGAATTTGATGACTGTATAGAAAGGGCTGAATCCTCCCAGGGGATGCCGATAAAGAAAAGAGAGAAATATGCTCGTCGAGAAGATGCTATTCTTCATGCTCTTGAACTTGAGAAGCAATTGTTGAAGAAGGATGGAAAATCAGGTATTATATCTTATAAAACCGATTGTGCATCATCTAGTGCTGTTCAAAAGGGAATGATTACATCTCCAAAACATTTGGAAATGATAATGAGAAACACTCAAATTTCCATTTCACATGTTTTACCTTCGGACTCAGCCTGTGATGGACACTTTACTGAGTAGGAAACTTGGCCCTTTAAAGAAAGCTTTCATCTTCTGTTGATCCAACTTTTTGTCACAAACTCACTGTTGATTATAATTATCAGGCTATTACAAGAAGTAGCCTTTAAATTTTTTGTACTGAGGAAAGTTGTCAGGTGAGAGATGTGTTAAGAATATAGTACAAAGAGGCCTATAAATTGCTTTTCTTGGTTCAACTTATGAACAAGTTAACCATATTATGGACAATGCAGGTTGACATCAGTTCTGTTTATCTTTTTTGTCAGGAGTTGGGCAAACAGGAGTTGGTTACCGAGCAAAGAGGAGCAGATGTATGTACATGCCTGCAGAGTCTAGTGATTCTCTAGACTACAAAGAGCCTTCATCCCATGTTGATATGTCATCCTCCCAGTTCGGAGGAGAGGTCCCTCATCCCAGTTCTTTGGCTGAAGAGAGTGAATCTGCTTTTATGGATGATGTTGAGTCCGATTCCTCCGATACTGGTTCTACTGATTCTGATTCTGATTCAGATTCTTCTGAGACGGAACCAGACATAGATGAGGAGATGGCTTTGCTTTCAGGTTTGGTATCTGCTATATCTGTGTTTTCAACTTTTATCATCTTAGTGTGATTTATTTGATTGATTGCCACAATGTTAAAAATTGCGCTTCATGGATTCTGACAATTCCTGTTTTATTGAAGTTTCACTTCTTTTAGTCTGCATCATCAACATCCTCCTCCTCATTGTTTTGCATTCAAAATTGTTTAGTTATAATTGTATGATTATGTGGAAGCTGGAGTATGTTCTGTGTCAGTTTCTTTCTCATGAAGTTGTCAATTTAATCTGAGTTCCTACATTGATACTTTAAGTGCCTTTCATTCTTTATTTCCTTCCTTCCTCCTCCTTCTTTATAACTGCTGTGATTTTGAACAATATTTTATTCTGGAGAGTAGCTTAGAATTAGCTAAGTACAACATTACGAGTCCTTGCTTACTCCTTTTCTTCTCTAAGTTACATCAGAAATATCTACCATGCCTGTATTAATTGCCGAAGTTGCTAACTATCATAATTTCCCCATAGATTGGCTGAGGTCCCTGGATATTTTGATAGGAACATTTTAAAAACCACATCTCCCATGCTAATTCCTGATGTTGAAGGTGCCTAAGACAATATACATCTCTTATTAGAACTCCATTCTACCAGATCAGAATGCCAGTGTGGACTCTAGTCCCTGACGTTGCAATTGTGTCTTTGACTAGAATCCATGCACTACAACTTGACGTCCATAGGCTGGCTATGCACTAACTTTCTTGCTCTATCCAAACATTAAAATGATTCCAGTGCATCCCATATAAATGCCAAATGAGAATCCCATTTATCTTTTGGGGTACTTAAGTTTCGTAAATTGCAGTTGGGTCCTAAGTCCTAACAAAAATTAAATGATTGGATTTAAAATACTAGATATTTGTAATTTTTTTGAGTACTAAGATATTTGCTTGCACAAAAACTTGGAAGGAATACTTATGCCAATTTTCTTTACTAAACCTTGTTGTTAGACTTAGGAAATTTTCTTTTTTTTTTTTAATTATTTATTGTCTTGGATTAGGTCCGTGGCCCTTGGTTTCCTTTTATTTCCCTTCTAAGAGTAATTTGTGGAAAGGTTTTTCAGACATTGAAGAAGAAGAAATTGAATTTGAATTGGAAGAGTTTCTGCAACTCTTAACACTACAATAGGTTTATTAAGATACAAAATGTTTTGAAGACAGAATGTTGTCAAATTTAAACAAACTTAGAGTGCTTCCCATGCATTGGATGGAATTTGGCAGGAGCTGTTCCCTTCATAACTTGTGAACAATCCCTGTGCTTTTTATATTTTATATTTATATTGATATTTCTGGATTAGAACTTCGGGTTTTATTTGATTTTCCTTTCCATTTTATTCAAAACATACAATGAAATGTTAAATCATTATAAGTGTGACATAACTATTCTATTATGGTGTCTAAACACAATATTTAGTGATATATTCTAGATGCCAAAACTTTGTCCTTTTATAATGAATGCAATTTCAAGCAAAAATAATCATATTCTTTATTTATGTAGCTGTATCAAATATCAATGTCTCATTTATGGGGAATGTGTATACATTTGCTTCAGGGACTTGGGGCTAATGAGTTGAATTTTTTGCAGTATGGTTTGTATTAAGAAAGAAACTAATTTTGGTTGGTTGGGTCTATCCTGTGGTGGTTTTCTTTTTTTTTTTTTTCTTTTTTTTTTTACATGGTGGAGATGCAGTTGTTCCTTTATGGCCCAGCACGTCTTGAGCCCCTTGTGTAAGTTTAAATTGTACTCCCAAGTTACTCTATTTTGGGGCATCCCGAAAGAGTAGTTATATACACATAACCTCCTACACAAAGCTGAGGAGAACTGTTGTCTACCTATATATTCCCACCACCTTACTTGGGATGGAGGTTGAGAGGGGGAATAAGAGGGACACCAACAGTATTCTTCCTTGTTGATACCTGTTCTTCAAATTGAGCGCATCTGAAGTCTACCTCTTCATTCTCACCTCAAGTCACAACTTGATTAGTGAAAGAACCTGCATTGTTATCAGCCCTGAAACAGAGTGATGTACATGAAAGATAGGAGGGGAGAGAGGGGAAATGGAGAGAAGAGAGAGATATATAGATAGATGTGAGGGAGAGTAACTCAATTCATTATCATTCCAAGCCTCCTTGCGATTAGTCCTTAGCTACTAATGGTAATCTCTCCTACTTAACCCCAACTAACTACTAAACCTTTCTTATTTATTATATTTACACATTAGAATGGTACTAGAAGACCAGATTTGTTAATCACAGGATGAGCAGGGAAAGCTCTCTTGAAAAATGTTATTTTTAGTCCTCATTGGCCGCTCTTGCCTCCTAATGCCCTGTTCCAGTTTCTAAGGTTCTCAACGATTGAAAATGTATCTGTTTGGTGAAATTGCAAGTTGCCTTTGATTTCCATTTTACGAAGCTACCCAGCCATGTCTTTTTCCCCCTTTAGTGAAATGACTTAGAACTCATTTTAAGCGTACACAATGATATTTTGACAAAATGGCCCATGTCAAGTAACTTTGGAACAATTATCTGAACTACCACAATCACTGGATTTGAAGTTGAAGGTGATGATGTGTTATATATGGATTTCACTTTTCATTGAATGAATTTTCAAGGGATTTATGCATGATCTCTGCATTTATTCTCAGACTTAGCTAGTGATCCGTGAAAAATGAGCAAAGTTAGTTGTCTTAGCTAGAAGAGAATAAAACATCAGTTGTGTAAATTAGAATTGGAAAAGCAATGAGAACTGATGTATTCTCTAATATCCCCATGATTCCATAAATGGAGACATGTCATGTCATGTAGGCGATTGATTGAGGAATGATTTGTCAATTAAGTAACAACATTTTGTCCTTAGCTGTTATTGGTACCCATGAAAAGAAATTACTGTTAGAAATATAAGAAATGGTCAATCTTTGATTGCCTTTGGGAGTGGATCGTGTTGGGTTTTTATTCCCCTCATTTTCGGGTGAAAAATAAAAATGTTGGGGTTGGGCGCCTGTGAATATGATTATGCTACCTGCTGATAATTTAGTGCTGTGGTTCCTTGTCTCTTTGTTAATCATATGATTGTTGTTGATAAGAAAAGATCCTCTAGCTTATCTTTAGGAGTTCCCTCTTGCTGCTTTTTTGAAACTTAATTCCTTTGTTCAATCTGTAGCATAACAATGTGACATGGCATCTTTAAAAGTTATTTGCTGTAGAAAATGCAATGTTTAATTGCTTTTTGATTTTTTAATGTGTGGTTGCTGACGTGCATCAAAGGAAAATTGAATTGCTGTGTTAAGTGGGTGTTTGGTTGCCTTGAAAAGCACTTTAGAAAAGTGTTTTTATGTAAGTCGAGACAAAACTATTTTTATATACTTCGTATATTTAAAAATCACTTTTAGAATCATGGTTTAGTTTTCAACTAAATACCTCCTAGGACTGAAACCTTCCCCAATGAGCATGTTTTCTTCGTGCTAATATTACATTGCTTGCTTGGGTTTTCTTTTACATGCTTCTTTTGCTCTTATCAAGTCACTCCTGTAACTGCAGAACCTGGTCGTGGTGCTGAAGAACATGGAAGCACTAGCAGTGAGGAGCCTGATGAGTTGGCAATTTCCAGTGATATGCCCCATCTGTATCCTCGTAATCCTATTACTTCAAATGAAGCTGTATCCAAATGGCAACTAAAAGGGAAAAGAAATAGTCGTAACCTTATGAAAAGGTCTGTTGGTATTCCTGATGGAAGAGTTACTTTGTATGGGGCAGATGCTGAACGAAGAAGTCATTTAAGCCACAAGAGGTTGAGGCCTGATTTGCATTATTACAGAAATGATTTTACTGATGTTTTTAATGAGGCTGATCAAATGTTTGGGTTGGAAGATGATTACTCCCCATCTTATAGGGCTATGTCAAAAGGTCGAAACAATGTTCACCGTGGACATGGTTGGCTTGATTGGGATTGGGATGATCAACCCACATTGAAAGGATATTGGGATGTCAAAGGGTATGCACCAGTTTATGGTGATCGCCGTCATTTCAATGGCAGAATGAGGTCACCACTGGTAAATGTAGATTTAAAGGTTCAAGCTAGCTATCGAAAAGAGCCCGTTCCCATTGTTTCTCTCATGAGCAAGGTAGATGGCAAGGCAATAATAGGACACCCAATTCAAATTGAGGTCCTTCCTGATGGTTCGTCTGATACTCTTGTTTCTACAATTGATGACCTAAACAATGATGGCATTGGCGTTGATGGAAGCAGCATGCTTCCACCTGCATGGAGGACTGCGAGGAGGACTGCAAATTTCCGTGTCCCACGCCCCCCTGTATCATCATCAAACGGTGCTGAAGCTTCTACAGAGTTATCCTTCTTAGATCAAGAAAGAAAATTTGAATACAAGAAATTAAATGCTGGAAGTTTTAGTGACAAGCCAAGCCTATCAAGGAAGAGCAGTATTGAGGTTCCTAGGCTTTCAACTGACAAGAAGCCATTGAAAAAGGTGCCTAGGAAAGCAAGCTTGTCATCTAGCCAGAAAACTAGAACTCTGTCTTCATTGTCTATTGAACATAATTTTAGTAAAAAGCCATTACATGATGGCATTCGTTATCGTTCAGATAGGTTGATTAAACCAGACGTCTCTGGGCCCCCCACAGTAGCTTGCATACCTGTCAAATTAGTGTTTAGTAGATTACTTGAGAAGATAAATAGGCCACCATCAAAAGTAACTAGTAATGCTGCTTCGTTGAATACTGCTGTGGAGAGAAATTCATAGGTTACATGTACATTTGTTATATGGAAACAATAATCCGACAGTGTAGTGCAACAATTTGTTGGTTGTGTCCTTTAGACAAGGGAACTCCTCCCTTCATCATTGTATTGTCAGCATTTTTAGGTTGAGCGTGTAACTAACTAATTCATCCCATGTTTAGATAAATAACAGGCAAATGGAGTCACTCTGTTTGCCAGATAACGGATTCATGAGGCATTGAGATAATAAATAACTGTCCAAGCCATTCTCATCTTTACAATTACAATCACTATATTAGCAATATAATGGTCTAATTGCATACTTTCTCCGGAACTTTATATAAGTTATCTTTTGAAATTTTACGGTACAAAATGTAAATCATTTTTGCAAGGGTTTGTGAATCGATGTTTTATTTTAAAAATGCCCTTGTCAACTTTCATTGAGGGCGCATAGGATATTGTTTCCAGGTTATGGTATTTATTAGAGATAAAAATGAAAAGTAATTTTTAGATAACTTTATTAATGTATCACCTTTGGTTTTTAATATAAGAATTAGATAACTAATTTGAGAGTATTAAAGAAATTAGTTAAGTTAGTTATTTATCACAAATATGTGTTGATTTTTTTAAACTATCACTTTTAATTTTGGATTACTAGAAAATCCCATGCAATTACCAGGAATTTTTGGAAAAGGATGGGAGATAAAGTGGATTAAAGTCTTATATTTAGGACTAAATTTACTACTCAAGTAGCTCTTATATTAAGGATTGAGTGTAGTAATTATTTTTTTAACTTTAATGAGGTAGTTAAAAATAGTATTAAGATGCAATTTTATCTTAAAGATTTATCTTAAGGGACATTGGGCATCATAAAGTTTACTTAGGTGCATAAATATACATGAAATTATCAAAAGAGGACATCTGGTACCACACCATCAACATCTATTATAAAGCTGTAAAGTGCATTTTCAACAATAAGATTTATATAAAAAGGTACTAGGCACCATAAAGTTTAATTGAATACAAAAATACACAAACTTTTTATAAGGGAGAAAAATAACAACATTTATCAACTCCCATAAAGGTCTGTTAATTTAATTTTTTTGGATCTCATCACATATCACATTTTCTTTCCACCTATTTTCGCTTCTAAATTCATCCATATTTCTCTCATCATAGACAACACACTCTTTATCTTGTGTTGTTTTCTTACTGTCGAAACCTTTCATATTTATTTACCTAGGACGATGTCTTTTCTTTTTAGAATATGAGGTTGATTACTTGCACCTAAGTACTACCTCTGGTCTTTAATTTAGGACCCAGTTGACTAATTTACAGAGATTAGATAAATTAAATAAATTACTTTAAAGTATTATATTTATCATTTTTTCCCTCCAAATTGATTTGGTTAGCCTATAAACTAATATATAATCTAATGATGCATATAAATATTTTAGAGAGATCATATAATATAGGTTATAATTAAATAATCACTTTGCTTTTTTAAATTTTTTCAAATTAGTCCATTATACTAACGAAAGGAGGAAGTAGGAATGAGTTGAAGAAAATGTGATATTTGGTGGGGCCTACGTTTATAGGAGTTGATGAAGTTTGTTATTTTTCCCTTTTTTAGAAAATTCATATATATTTTTTTCACCCAAATAAACTTTATGATACCTAATGCCCTTTAATGTAAACTTCATTGTTAAAAATATACCTTAAAACTGATTTTTTGGGTACCACTAGCAGTAATCTAACAAACGTTATGATTTATGATGCTCCCTTTTAACAACTTCATGTATATTTTTGCACTCAAGTAAATTTTATAGTATCCAGTACTCCTAGAAAAATTGACGCACATGATTTTAGATGGTGTTGATAGTAACCATTAGCATGATTTTAGATATTGTTGATAGTAAACATTAGAGTCCCTTAAGGGTGGGAAGAAGAGGGGTAGCTCTGTCTCATCTACTTTTTCTTGACAATGCTATTATTCTGTGAAGCTAATTTGGATTAGGCCTGTAATATGTTAAAAATCCTGGAGGAATTTGGAGATGTATCTCATCAAAAACTTAATGTGCAGAAGACTAGTATGTTTTTTCTCCAAAAATATAGATAGGAGAATTCAAAATGAAATTTGTAGCTTGACGGGTTTCAAGGTTGGAGAGGATTTTGGGAGGTATTTAGGAGCTTATATTTTAAAGGGTAGAGCTACAAAAGAAAAGTTTTAGTTCCTAATTGATAAAATGCAAGCAAAGTTGAGTGGTGGGATGAGACAAAACCTATCTTTGGCTGGCAGATTAACTCTTGTTCAGTTTGATACAAATCAATTGACAAATTATCAAATGCAACATTATCATATTCCAATTAGAGTAAGGCAATGTTTGGAAAAAATTTGAAAGAGTCTTATATGGAAAAATGAGGATAATAGGAGAAAAATGCATGCTGTAAGTTGGGATATCCTTTGTGTCACATCCCAAAATTTGAACACTGAAAGAAGTCGGACTAGTGATACTGGACTCTCAGGGGAAAAATTAGAAATTTTATATAAATTCCCCAAAAAATGGAAAAAGGCCAAATTAGAAGTTTTTGAGACACCTATGATGTTTTGGAAGTGAAAATGGCCCAAAATAAATTATACTGAAATTTCTCAAAAATAATTATTTTTGAGGAAATTGTAAAATTTGAGGAAACATAATTATTTTTATAATGTAAGGGCCTCAATAATTCAAGAAAAAATATGGATAAATTCCTTGGGAATATATGTGAATTTATAAAATTATTTCCAAGCATTGGAAACGAAGGGAATGATTTATGGGGAATTTACTTATGAAATTCTATCGGTATGAAATAAATAGTTAGAAGTTGTGAAAAATGTCCAAACTTTCCAGATCATGCTTTTGGATTAAATGGGGATTTATCATGAAAATAAATGAATTTTTAGGAGTCTTGGGCTATTTTTCCTAATATAGGGCTAAAAAGGGGTAAATTGGATAGAAGATTGTAATTGGAATTGAACCAAACCAACTCCATTACTTCCCAACTAGATTTGGACATTTAGTTAGCCCATTTTGGTCAGGAGGGACGTACTCCCCAAGACCCAAAGATCACATGTCAATTTGTTGGCACATTTTTTACCATTGGATTAAAGTTACTTAGTGGGCAAGTAATGATCTTATGGCCCATATTTTTTCTGCTTTTTTGAAAAATAGGAGGGCATTTCAAGCAGAAAAATAGCTGACCAAGGGCAGGTTTGGACAGCTTATGGAAGTCTATAAATACCCCTTCCATTCCTTCACATTGCGGCCAAAATAGGGAGACCTTGGGAAAGTGCTGCCAAAATTTCTACTCACCTCTAATCACCTTCAAATCACTTCAAGCAAAGGCCAAGCTATCAAGTTTCCACAAGGGATTAATCAAGGTATGTATAAGCTTGATTTTTATGCAATTGGAAGGTTAAAATCATGTCTAATCCTAAAGGGAAACTATGTTGAAATTTTGGCCAACATAAGAAAATGTTAGGAAAAGATAAAAACTTTGATAATGAGCTTGGATTGGTATGTTTGGAATGATTTATGGAAGAAAAATCAAGCGAGAGTTCATGATACTTAATTTGGCCAAGTCTTGTTCTTAGGGTTAGGAATTGTTTCAAAGTGTTTTGATGATTCCAATGAGTTCAAAAGATGTTTTTGTGTAGGAATATACTAAAGGGAAGTGTTTGAAATCATTAGAATCAAAAATGAAATTTTTGAAAAATATGGACCCCTATTCGGCCAAGCTTAAATGAAAGGGAAGGAATGTGATTTTGTAAAATCTAATTGGATATTTGGATTCTACATGAACAATCATGTAGGAATGACCTAAGAGATTAATTGAAACAAAGAGGAAATGATTAGGTCAAAAATCCAAGGAACAAGGGATTTAATGTTCAAGTATTGTATAATGTGTTTGAATGGTTGGTAAATGATTAACATTGATGTTGGTTTGCTAGGTATTTTGTCAAATCATCAAGGAGATACCCTAAACTTAAAGGAGACAAGTCACTAAGTACACAAGAGGTAGCATTGAATTATGATTAAAGTGCTTTCTTGCTTACATTTATGTGTATGAGTGCATGTGCTATGAATGCCATGATGTGACTAAGCTATGTTGCTGAATTATGATTGCAATGTTTATGTTGAGCATGCCTTGGCATTATGTTACGTGAATATGAATGAACTGGCTTCCTTTCCATGACATTTCACTATGCATGAACAATAAAGTTTTGTGCATAAAAGCATGTCACATTACATTTGCATGATTGCATGATAATTATGATTCTTTCCTATTGAGATTTCTTTGATTCCCCTATGTTTAAACTAACCTTAGGAGGAGGATTGAGCAAGGGAAAGGGCCAGGAAGTATGAACAAAGACATATAGATGCTTAGTGACATTATTAATGAATATTATGTTATGTTATGTAATATTTTGGATGTTTTGTATTTGTTGGATAATAGCTCCCTTATGGAAATGAACATGTACGAAAATGTATAAGTATATTAGAATGGATGTGCAAGCATGTCATGGGTCCCAAAAGGTTAAGAATGAGAAGAGATAAAAGAAAAGACAAAATTAGACCTAATTAAGGGATAAAATGTCCCTAAAAATGGCCAAATGTGGGACACATAAAATAATAAGCATTTCTTTGAGTCTGGACCTGAGATTTGGCAGAATTATAGATTATATTTTTAACTTTACATCAAATGGTATAACATTGGAATTGGAGTTTTGTGTGAAGAGTTATAACATTGGAATTGGAGTTTTGTGTGAAGAGTTATGTCTTTCCAAAGTTAGGCTAAAGTACTGGAAATTCAAAAATGGACCATATGAACAGTGCACTTTGTCGAATTGTTTGGTACTGTTTCAAATGGAAATGAGTCCAATGAGCATTTTCCCCCTAAAGTACTCATGACAAGCTTTGGGTGAAAATTAGAACTACTTAATTTTGATTTTTCTACATTTAGTTATGAATTTTCAAAGTTGGTCTAGAAATCTGTGAATAGTGTATGGACAGCATGTAAATGGAAAATGTTGACCTTGAAATTTTTCATTCTTAAGCTATGGGAAATGTATTATAATGGTTCCAAAT